GAGGCGTTCTTCGTAAGGCTTAGATTTGAGTCCTCGAACTGATTTCGTGGCTCGCCGTTGGATACGCCCCAAAGTGACTTTGTCCTTTTGGAGTGAGGGGGGAGTACTATGTTTCCGTACTCTAAATGGGGACGGATGAAACTATTGAAGATTGTGTGGAAAGTTCTTCCGTCAAACTGGCCAAAAATGCGCCTCAACGTTACCAGTGCAAGGTTTGCTCGGAAGGCATTTTTGTCACAGTTAGCGTAAGACTTTAAGTCATGGGGCACCAGGACTCCTAAATCTTTTTCGACTTGGGATACTACTAGAGAGGAGTTTCCTAAGTTGTAACTGTAGTTTGCGACATGTCGCAGATGGACTACTTTACACTTTGAAGTGTTAAAGGTAAGTCCGTTATCGTCTGCCCAACTTTGAAGTCGAGTCAGATCCTCCTGAAGTGCCTGTGTATCGTCTTGGTTGCGTATCTCTCTCCCAAGTTTCACGTCGTCGGCAAAAAGTAATAAGTCTGACGTTACCTGTTGAGGAAGATCATTTATGTAGATCAAGAAGAGAAGAGGCCCTAGTACTGAGCCCTGGGGGACCCCACTAGGACATTCCATAGCCTGAGATAAAGTGAAATTAACCCTAACCTTAAAGTGTCGATTTTTTAGGTATGAAGTAAGCCAGTCGATTAGAGGTGGTTTGATACCTAGTCCTTTGAGCTTGTTGATAAGACACAAGTGGTTAACCTTATCAAAAGCTTTTGAGAAATCAAGGTAAATGACATCAACCTTTCCCTTGCAATAGAGGATGCTTGTCCATCTGTCCACCGCAGTCAGCAGGTTGGTTATACAAGAGTAACCCTTCCTGAAACCATGCTGTTGGGGTGAGAAGAAATTTAAGGACAGTAGATAGTCGTTTAAACCGTTGCATATCAGGGACTCCATGAGTTTTGAAGGTAATGACAGAAGAGCCACCGGCCGATAACTTGAAGGTTCATTGCGTCGACCACCTTTGAAAATTGGTGTGATGTGAGCCAACTTCCAATTTTCCGGTAATTTGCCTCGGCTAAGCGAGTGTGAAAACATCACGCTAAGCGGCGTTGCCAGGATTGAGGCTGCCTCCCTCAGTATGGCAGGATGAACCATATCCGGGCCAGGAGAAGTGTCAAGTCTTAAGTGCTGCAGTTTCCGGAACACCAAGTCAGCGCTTAGGTCCACTTCAGAAAGTCCTGTGGAATTGCAGATGAAACTGTCGTCAATAAAGTTGATGTCAGCCGGTTGAAACGTTTGAGAGTAACGTGCCGCCAGAAGGTTAGCGGCGTCGCCATCATTGTTGGTCGGGCCGTTAAGACCTAGCAGTTGAGAAACTCCTGTTTTGGCTTGACGAAGAGAGGCTGCATAACGGAATAGGCTTCTAGGGTTAGAGGCGAATTTGTCCATAAGCTTTGTTTGGTACTGGAGCCTGTCTTCTCTTATAGCCTTCGTGCATATGTTTCTGATATGTTTATATTGCCTATACGCTCCGTCGTTATCAGTTCGTTTGTATTCCGCCCAACAGTGCCTTTTGCAGCTTAGCAGGCGAAGAGTACGGTTCTTGATTACTGTAGGTGGCTTGCAGCTTTTGGGAACCGTTTGAGGAACTGAATGGTCTGTAGCACATAAGAGCGTGTGCAGTAAGAAGTCCCAATGACCATCCACATCGAGTTGAGGGTGAACATCCCAAACCACCTGTTGTAGATAGTCATGTAGAGCTGGCACATTCAGCCGTTTAAAATTCCAACGCAAATTATTGTTGGGATACATTAGCTTAGTTTTGATGACAAAACTGAAGGCTATGACGACATGATCGCTCTTTCCCAGAGGAGCCAGGATTGAGAGGTTGTCGACTAGGAATTCTTCGTTAGTGAATACACAGTCTAAGCGCGATGGTGTCTGACTGTTTCTCCAACGAGTTGCGGACCTCACATTTTCATATAAGCCCAGGTCATCGATGAGGTTGAAGAACCGAGCTTCAGTTGAGTTGTCGCCTCCAGTGTACGTGTGTTCCGCGAAGTTGACTCTAGGGAGATTAAAGTCCCCTAGAATCAGGATGTGTGTGAAACCGAGACGGATAGAGCGGGATAGTCCTTCCAGCATACGACTATCGTACTCGGTGTCGGCAGTTGGCTTCCTGTAAATGACTCCGACTAGACACCTGGAAGTACTAGACAACCTTACAGAGCACCATATGGATTCCTCAAGATTGTTAAACTCGAGGTTGTGAACCTGGTGCACCTCCAAGCAAGAGCTTATGTATATGGCTACTCCGCCCCCAATTCCTATTTTTCTGTCGTTGCGGAACAAAGTCATCCCAGGTAATGCTAACTCTTGATCCGAGAACTGAGAAGATATCCAGGTTTCAGATATTCCTATCAGATGGGCCTTATTAGCGTTGCTAAGTTCACGTAGTTCATCCAGTTTGTTTGGTAGACTCGCGGCGTTCATATATAAGCAGTTTATGCTTTCAATTTGGAACGCGTGAGCTTCGTCCTGTTTTTCTGTATGAACCTTATGTGAATGGACAGGTAGCCCACCTATATGAGGTTTGCCGAGGTGGTAGGCCCTGTCCTTTACACGTTTTTTTATCGTTTAGACAGTCCACAAGTGGAATGGTCAGCTCCAACTTGCCTTTGTTCTTGGTCCTGACTTCGTATGGCCTATCCGGGTGCATGTGGATTCCAGGTGGCAATCGACGTCTATTAGCACGAAATGCTTCCAGAACTGCAGCCGCCATGTGGGAAGATGGGAAGGTTATCTTCATTAGACGGGGTCTAAGATCACCGTCCTTCTTGGCTAGTCTCGTCACATGCTGAGTCAGTATGTGTTTGAGCCTCAAGGACTGTTTGATGAATTTCCATTCCCTGATGTCAGAATTTGACTGAGTAGGGTCCGTATTTTCCGGTATACCTTGCACAATTATGTTTCTTCCGCGGAAAAACTTCTCGCGAGATTCTTTAGGGATGTTTCGTATGATACTGCGCTCAGAGTACGGTATGTCGGGCAATATTCTTACGTTACCATCTGATTTCAGTAAGTGACTTGCTAGCAAGACGTCCTCTACGTCGGTAGCATTCTTAAGTGTTACTCGGAGAAGCCTCGGGTGATTTAGATGCTTAGAATCCTTTCCTCGAGTGAGCCGGGTGACCGTCAAAGGCTCTATTCTAGGAAGTTCGAGCTTCTTGTTCAATTCACCCCACAGCATCCTGTCATTTTTGTCCTGCAGACTGAGAGGAAGGTCAGGATTGTCAACGAGGTTCATGATAATGAGAGAGTCGTCACGAACTGTTGTTAATTTACCAGGTTTCACGATGGGTTCAGGTTTAATAACTTGTTGTTTGGAGGTCAGTGTGCGTTTATGAATCTTGGGCTCTCTATTGACCGGACGAACAGTCTTGGGGGTAGACTGTGCGACTAAATCACCAGTTATTTTCCATGCAGCAACACTTGGGTTGCTCGGCTTAGGCGGTGATGCCTGGTTCTTTTGGGCTCTCTTAACGTGGGTCGAATCACCTGCAGGGTTTTTGGGAACCACTGTTGTGTTCAGGGACCCTGAGCTGGGAGATCCGAGTTTGCCTAGGGAGTCTAGTACCGTCGACTTCATGATGGTACTGAGCCTCGACACGTCGTCATTAGTGTTGATGGATGCTCCATCGATGGTATACCTATCGACATCCCTATTTTTGAGTCCGTTGCGCGCTCTTGTTTGTATATCGGTTTTTTTACTATCGTATTCCAAGTTAACTGACGACTTATTCCGAAGACCTGTCAGTAGGACAATGATGTTACTCAGCAAGACTACATCGTCCGTGCTGCACATGACACATACCCAATTTTGGTCTGACTTGCTGAGTCTGTTGTAAGCAGTTGCTGTCAGATTTGTGCATGCTTCGTGGAACCAACCTTTGCAGTTGTCGCACTGCATGCCAGTTGTGACAGCAAAACGGCATCCCGGACGTTTGCATGAGTTTTTCATGACGGTGTTGAAGCAAACTATGTTATAGATGCTTGCAAGAGCCTAAGACCTTTTTAAAAAAAACACTAAAAAGCACACTGAAAACGGACAAAAATGGACAAAACGAGTGATATAAACTGAAACTAGTCTATACGTGAAAAACAAAAAAAACCGAATAGTAAGCTGAGGCAAAACCACAGGTAACTATTAAATATAGTGAAACTCAAAAAAAAGTAATCTACCGAACGTATAGCTCAGGATAGATTCTTTAGAACTGAAATGGTACTTTTGTTGCGTAAGAACACAGCAAAAGTTTGATATATGCAAATCACGTTAGGACTAAACTTCCCGTTCGAAAAGCGCGCCCTGGGTAACTACCTAGCCTGCATCTAAGTCGCACCTTGTGGTCAATACCTTACCTGGATTGCCCTGTCGCTGCAACCAGACCGCGTGTTTACTATAATGACCCCTGAAAAGGCACAGTTTTACTTAAAAAATGTATTATGGTAAGAGGCTAGAACTATAAACATTAAAGCCATTGCTCAGTGTGTAAGTTCCTAACGTGCATTCGGTTCATCCATCCCTATCATTCTGTCGACCATTCACTGATTGTCTGTTTAAGATAAAAGCGGTTCACTCTGATAGATAATTAGGCTAAAATAAAGTAATATTTCAGTGGCTTCACAAAGGTAAGTACTAATGAATAGACTGATAGAGATGGTTAATCACTTTGTGACTTTCAAGTTAGCTACAAAGCATTACCGAAATGACAGTGTGTGATAAAACGAACAGAGCATTCAGTACACTGATGTATTAGTTGCGTTGTAAGCTCACTATTCCAACCTAGGAAACTAAATAACCAAAATTACTTTTGACCCATATTTTCTGAGTCTACGACCACCTTCAGAGTTTAAAGAGTAGCTTTATTAAGATCATAGCAGACATAATCATTAGACCCTCAACTAGTGCATAGAATAATCTTTACATTTAGATGTTACTCCTCAAACAACTTTGGAGGTTTCACACCTTAAAAATAAGCTGTGTTGGGTGAAATAGAGTTGATTATTATAATGGTGTTTATAAGAGCTTAACTATGTCATGAATAAACAAAATCGAGTGGTCAACTATTGCCAAAACTATATAACGTCATCAAAAATAAGGACATGTTAATCATTTTATCAGCACTTAGGACGAATGTGTCGTCTCGTGAATTTGTTTCTATATTTATAAAGAGTACAACGAAATTATTGACGGTTGAAAGGAGCTTTCTTGTGTTTGTTGTCAACTATCAGCGTGCAACGATACAATCTAAGTGGATCATGGTTGGTTATCGTGTTTTTCTCTTTAATGCTTAAGTTTTGGTTTACATTTGCGAGTTTTCCGTTAATGGTTTAAAGCAGTTAGATCCATTTTGAATTCGTAATAAATTTTCCCAGAAGACCAGTTTACTATATTTTATGAAACCAGACTATGAAAACTGAACTGACTGCAAATTTTTCGGTTAGATTCTTCAGGTTAAAGGCGAAAAAGGAGACATAGTGGGAGAAAAATCTGGACTATAAAACTAAATTTTCTTGTTTTTCTCACGGCACTCGTGTCTTCCAGTTACCAGTTCGTCTCTTCAAGTTTATTTAATGAAGCATCTCAAATGGTTCAAATGGTTGTGGACGGAATAGAAAAAGCTTTCGCTTAACAGGCTTCCGTGTCTAGTAGCAGGGGATCACGAAATCCTCCAGGCAGGAACCTAGGTATGTTAACAATAAAAGAGGAAAAGAAATTGGTAAATCATAGTGTGATGCTGTCCTTGGTCCTTAAGAATAGGTCAAGTTGCCTCTTGAAGGACTCCTGAGAAGTCGCTTGGACTAGCTCGGCCGGCAGCGAATTCCAGCTTTTGACAACTCTTAAGGAGTAGAAGTTGTGTCTACATTCCGTCTTGCTATGTTGTGTTTCCAGTTTCTGGGTGTTACCCCTTAGGTTATTATTCGAACTAAGCTTAAGTAGGTGTTTAAGAGGATGTCCAGAAGTGTTAAGAATACTATAAGCCATTAATAAATCACCTCTAAGACGCCTATATTCTAGTGGGTAAAGGTCTAGTGAACGGAGGCGTTCTTCGTAAGGCTTAGATTTGAGTCCTCGAACTGATTTCGTGGCTCGCCGTTGGATACGCCCCAAAGTGACTTTGTCCTTTTGGAGTGAGGGGGGAGTACTATGTTTCCGTACTCTAAATGGGGACGGATGAAACTATTGAAGATTGTGTGGAAAGTTCTTCCGTCAAACTGGCCAAAAATGCGCCTCAACGTTACCAGTGCAAGGTTTGCTCGGAAGGCATTTTTGTCACAGTTAGCGTAAGACTTTAAGTCATGGGGCACCAGGACTCCTAAATCTTTTTCGACTTGGGATACTACTAGAGAGGAGTTTCCTAAGTTGTAACTGTAGTTTGCGACATGTCGCAGATGGACTACTTTACACTTTGAAGTGTTAAAGGTAAGTCCGTTATCGTCTGCCCAACTTTGAAGTCGAGTCAGATCCTCCTGAAGTGCCTGTGTATCGTCTTGGTTGCGTATCTCTCTCCCAAGTTTCACGTCGTCGGCAAAAAGTAATAAGTCTGACGTTACCTCGTCCGCAGGTCCCTCTCTAGGAGATCCAGGATTTATGCGAGATCATCGATAGTACTTGCATAAGACCGTCTGAGGATTTCAAGAAGTATCCAGGATCAGACGCTTGGGTTCCCCTTATCCATTGCTTTGGGAGGACATTCAATGGGAAATCCTTAGTTTGGAAATATCGAACGGAAATATATTCAAATGTTTCTGCAACACGCGTTTGTTAGTTTAAAAATGTTTCTGATAAGTAGCACCATCAACTGATATTTTCGTGGAGACCCACATCTGCGGGTCAGCAATTTTAGGAAGTTGGGGATTAACCTCATAAATCCCCGTCATGTTCAATTATACCATTAAGTACTAACGTATTTAGGTCAAAAAATATACCAAGTCAAGGGTCATTTGTTTCTGTCATCTACAACGTAGGATCAGGCACATGTATACATCCATCCAAGTTGCTACACCTCATTAGCACAACAAGAAAGTCAAATTTATAGAAGTAGTTACTTCAATGGTAATGCTATGTGACTCAAGACTTGTAGTCTTTTGTGTCATTGTCCGTATTTTTGTGATTTTCACACCATTGACTTTTAAGCTTACCGAGGCAAAAAAAACTATATAATAGTGGGGGGGAGATATTCCCTACTTGTTTGTAATTAAACTTGTTATGTGATGAAACTGGCCTAAGATTTCAACGTTTATGGGATTTGTGCTTTTTTTAGTGACTTATTACACAAATTTATTTTAAAGTTATACAGAACAACAAACTACCTCATGTCGAGATAAATTTCAAAATATACCTGTATTAGCAAAAGTAGTAAGGAGTGGTCGGACGTCTTGGAGCTTGTACACCATAATTCATATAAAAGCTGTGACGTGAGCTAATATTTTATTCATAATTCGGAAAGTTATGGACATTTCTTTCAGTAAGCGAATTCTCCAAGCATTCAATGGAAATTAAAGAGCTTCAGTAGGTTGTATACCATCATTTTCTGGAAATGCTTCTCCTTACTAAACGCTTTTGTACTATTCGAATTTGCTTCTTCTACTTTTGGAAGTTAGGTGTACTCTAGCAATTCTAAGTTGTAGTTCACACTATAGAAGTTCATTTTGACTCAAGGCAAGACTTCATGAAAAAGGCTATAGATATAACTTCTTGAATTGAATGAAAAGCATTTTCATCTGGTCCTACGCTTAATTTGACGTGCATACTGAGTTCTAGTGTCTTTCAAGTCTGATTGGTGACTCATTTAAATATGTCGAAGTGTCCAACAGATTATTATTGTCTCTCTGTAATCTGGTTGCTTATTCTCTTCATTTTAATTAGCTTTCACTGCAACCAATTTCAATTCTAAGCGCTGGTGCCGATGAAGAAAAGGCAGAAACCGCCCGACTTGTAAGTTTCACTTTAGAATCTTTATTTCAGTCTTCATTCATTGGAGCCATTGCTATCGGTGATCTTGTTAAGACTACTTTGGGTCCTAAAGGAATGGACAAAATCCTCCTCTCATCCGGAGAAACTGTCGAAGTGACAAATGATGGTGCTACTATTCTGAAGTCAATCGGGGTAGATAATCCTGCAGCTAAGATCCTTGTTGGTATGTTTAATCCTAATTCTGTCTAATATTTATGGCAATTTAGAAATGAGTAAAGTTCAAGATGATGAGGTTGGCGATGGCACAACTTCAGTAACTGTTCTAGCCGCAGAATTATTGCGTGTAAGTTGTTACTAATGATCACTTATTAATGCTGATGACTGTAGTCTTATACGTATATTTGGAATCATTTGGTAGCTCTCGGTGTAAATTAGTTGAACAACTGCTCTTTAACGTCCCTTGCCCTGCGATCTTAATTTTTCAATCAAATTACACCTTAGTTATGTTATCTAATACCTAATGATAATCTGTTGATGACTATATGCTGAGGTTGTCTAAATCAGTCAGCTACATCGTAGGACCAGGCACATTTATGCATTGATCCAAATTACCACTCCTGAAGCAACAACTTGCATTTAGAGGGGGAAAAGCGTATCTCAAACATTCTGGCATTGTTGCTTAGTGCTACCAAAAGACTACATTTTATCAGCGGCTTCACTAAACAGGACTATATCATCTGCGTATTCTAAGTCGTTAAGTGGACCTTCTGGTAGGAGATCAATACCCAAAAATTCAGTCGACGAAAACGTTGTCAAATGTGAAAAATGTAATAAGCTTTTATGTGCCTGTTTTTGTGGCGCGTGATAATTATTTCCATAAATTTCGAGAACTCATCCTTGATATATCAGGCAGAAATAATCAACATAGGACGTAATACAAGTATACTAACCTAAGTTGCTACACCACAGGACAGTGATATTAGATTAACAAGATACATACTAAGAATTCGAAATAACAGTATTGTTAACTGTGGTGATATAACTCATGATACAGGATGCTAGGTGAACTTTCGTAGAGTAATAAGTATGAAGTATTAAATCTCAAAATCTCGAAAACAGTAGAAAATAAATACATTTAATACGCAAACCGATTTCCGGGCATACCATAGAAGGTATAAATAATCGGTAAGGAATATTGCCTCAAATAGGTAGTCTATATTTCACGGCATAACCTTGGCCAACAGTAACTGAGATCAGGTCTTATTTCGGCTTTTAGCTTTCTTCCAGCCAACATTACATGTCCAAGTGGGTGGCATCTGGGTGTGCGTAACATCTGTTCCATTTATCTAAGTTTATAAAAAGTCACAATCTTAACCTTGTTCTCATGTTTATTTACAGTTGCACGCCTAATCTTATCGTTAGACACTAGATATCACTATACTGTAGGTATTATCTGTAAACAACTCCCACATTAAAGATTGGTCCACTAAACCCATTGATCCATTAAATAATCCGGTGACAGAATAATGTGTGGTTCAGTCAGTTAATCATGATGAACATATAACCTGACACAAATATGAGTAGGCTCTGGTCACCGTACCAAATTAACATGATCCAATGAAATCAACATTTATAGCAGATGGGTCGGAATAATATATTCTCAGCGATAATGAGGACTGAATACAATGAAGGTACGTATAAATTAATATTAGAACTTCAGGATCTTTAGGGTGACTAAAAGCATACATCTCAAGAGCGAACAAGTTTAAGCCTTCCACCCAATTTCTTCAAGTACTGATTGCAGTTATTGTTTGGATCCCAACGGGGTAGTTTGCATCCTTAAATACGACTAATGGACTGGTACCTACACCTAATGCTCAAATAGGTAAACTAAGCAAAAAGGAAAGACACCGGGGTTAATATTGTGGTATCGTAGCTCAAAGAACAGGTAATGGTGGCCGTATGTTGCAGTTATGCTCAGATAACCGCCTGTCTCTTGCAAATACTAACTTTAAGCATGAGGGAAAACATCTATTGACATGGCGAGCCCCGAATCCATCCCAACGTCGCTATCAGCCACCTATGGAGGGGCTCGATAGAAGACTGTCGCTCATTCTAAGCACATGCTTAAATTCAGATTATGTCCTAGTGCGAGCGCGTATTTGCCTGCATCTTACTGGACGTAGGAAAGACGCTGCAAGGAAACCTCTTAGGGCCCTACTTAATGATGGTCAGGCTAAGATTTTATTTCAGGGACAACTAGAAAAAGTTAGGCAGCCATGTATGTGATGCCCACCCCTAGGCAGCATGGAATGATATCCGAAAAGCTGGGGAAACAGCAGTGATATATGCTAGTGCGGTAAACCACAAGGTTAGAGAGAAACACTGGACCTCATCAGCACTTACCGCACTGATGGGTGCGCGAAAACTCATTGCATCTGGCTCTTAACATAACGAAGAGCGGAGTCAGCTTAAGCGCAAGCTGACAAGAAGTCTACGCAGTGACCGTGAACAGTGGTGGGTAGCGAAAGCAAGAGAGATGGAAAAGGCAGCGGCAATAGGTAATAGCAGACAATTGTTCAGACTTATTAAGGAAACCGGTATTAGGAAACTGACTGTTAGCGAAACAATCTCAGAGGAAGATGGACATATTATACATTCTCAATCCAGGAGATTGGGTCGATGGGCGGAACACTTTGGGGACGCCCCCAAATGCCCTGGTATGGCCGAGAGTGGGGTGGGCCCGCCCTCCCCCTCGAAATGCTCTCACGGGTACGCGTATACAGCCTCTGCCAGGGAAGTCCTACTCGCTGCCTTTTTATGGCGGGGGTGTTGTTTACGAAAATGAGAGGACGCTTTAACCGGATTCCAAACCAATAGTGCACATGGTCTCCAGTATCCTGAAGGGACAAATGGCGTATGAACCAATCGTTGGTCACCGGCTTCCATGGGACTGCATCTCCTTACGATGCTCCACTGCCTTGTGGATCAGACCTTTAGGTCAAACGCTCCGGGTTTGGTCCCCTAAGAAAACCACCTGTTTCGGTCTGGGCACCCAGGCAGTATCACACACAAATATGATGTGGCGCATATATATTTGGTGTCCTCTTGTACCAATATTTATGTTTTGAAATAGTATTAATAAAATAACACTTTGGGGACCAGTTCAACTGGCATTCAGCCACACTTCGGTTTCCCACAATCCCCGGTCAACCTGAATGGCAAGTTAATGTAGGTCCTCCGACTCAACGAAGTTGAAAAAGTGTTATGACTGTGAAAAATAAATGCTCCTGGTTAAGGGGTAGCGAATTATTGATCGGACCAAAGACGCGCAAACACGTAGAACGACCTAGGGTTCTGATTGGTCTCGCTTCCCTGTATAGCCCAGCCAATTGAGTCCAGAACGCAAGTCACAGCCTCGGATATATGAATCATTATATTTCAAACATACTTTGTTTATATACCAGTCAATCAGTCCACAACGTACCATAAAATAGAAGATAACATTGTACAATAATGGCCAGTAGGAAAGTAACACGTTAAATAAATATTGACCAATAAGATGATACCATTTTATGTCCAAGGATAGCATTAGGCTTAACAGGATAATTTTTGGGATATTTTGCTGAATATCTCAACAAAAAGCTATAGTAAATCTGAAGTGTGGGAGAGCAGCAGGCCCTGACAGGTTTACTCCTGAGATTTTTAAGGATGGTGGTCCAGTACTAGCAGTGAGATTGACTGAGGTCTCAGGTAGAATTCGGGAACTGGACGCAATCCCATCTGACTGGTCTCAATCACTGATTGTGCCAGTCTATAAGAAAGGACAAAAGTCTTCTTGTGACAATCACAGAGGAATCAGTTTGACTGATATAGTGTCTAAAATATTAGCTTCAATAATACTTCGACGCCTAACTAAGGCTCGTGAAGAGCAGACTAGAGAAAACCGGGCTGGTCTCCGACCTGGACGTGGTTGTATAGACCAGATATTCACACTACTTTAGGTCCTAGAATATAGACACATTCAGACGCCGCACAATCGTAGTATTTCTGGACCTTAAGGAGGCATTTGACTCTGTCGATCTTGAGGTTCTATGGCAGTGTTTGTCATTAGAAGGAGTACCAAAGAAGTACTCGAACACAACTGGTCAAGTGAGAGCTTATGGCGAACTGTCATCAGAATTGATTACCTCAAGTGGTGTTCGTCAGGGCTGTCCACTCTCCCCATTCTTGTTCAACTTTGTGGTCGACGTACTTTTAGAGATAACACTCTCCTCATCTAAATTTCCAGGGGTTGAACTTCTACCAGGAGATTCACTCGTTGACTTGGAACATACCGATGACATAGTTCTATTTAGTGAAGACGCTGACAAAATGCAGAGTCTTCTGACCAGTCTAAGCAACAATGCAAACATGTTTGGGATGCGATTCTCCCCCTCGAAATGCAAAATGTTGTTTCAGGATTGGGTGGCATTGGCACTTGAACTAATTATAGTGAGTGAAGTAATTTAGCGTGTCGACCGCTTCACTTGCCTTGGAAGTCTCGTCAGCCCTTGTGGTTTGGTGTGTGACGAAATCTCAGTACGGATACAGAAGGCTCGACTGGGTTTTACCAACTTGCGTCATTTATTGCGTAGGTTAACCAACCAGAGGATGGATTTACTGTGCAGCAGTTCGTTCCGTCCTACTTTATGGCAGTGAAACATGGCCGGTAAGAGTAGATGATATTCGTTGGTTACTAGTTTTCAACCGTACGTGTCTTCGAAACATTGCTCGTATATCCTGGGACCACTGAGTAGGTAATGCAGTTGTTAGGAAATGGGTACTAGGTGAGGATGGCAAATCATTTGATGAATTTGTGACACTTCACCAGTTGAGATGGCTGCGATATGTGTTACGTATGTCCAACCACCGACTGCCCCGACGTGCGATGTTTTATGGTGTAGTAGTAAGTTGGAAGAAAGCTAGGGACTGCCAGTCCAAAACATGGCACAAATCCATGAATTCACTGACAAGTGGATTGAACCATGTTGGCAGGTGTAGACTACTACCTGGTTGTGATCCGCGATACGATAGCAACCGATGGTTGGAGGCCCTGAATGATATGGCTCAAAATCGTTTGCAGTGGCGCAGGTGCATCCACTTGTTGTGTTCTTCCAAATTCTAATCTTAATTCTTCGTGTCCCTTTTTATCTTTCCAAATTTATTTCACTGTATTATACTCCTTGAATAACATCTTCAAACCGTAATCTTTCCGATTACTGCTTATACTTTTATTACCTCTACCACTATGGAATTTGAATCGACAACTGCATCTTTGTGCTAATGTGGTGTGGCAACTCGAACTGATCTACGTACGTACGAAGTTCTACGTTGTTGCTGACAGATTAACACCTACATCAGCTGACATTTCACATCGAAATAATCAGTGGTTTGGCATATGTAACATATTCCAATAAACCCACTTGATAAAGATTCAAAGCCTCACCAACTGGCTTGTCATTTTTGACAAAACTTCGGCGTTACAAGCAACACTTCGGAAACAGCTGTTATAAATAATCTGCATCCCACACATCAGCTTTCGTAGACTGTTTCGCAGCCGTAGAGTAATATATTCGACTTTTGTTTCACAGGCGGACATCTCGCCTACGCGATAAAAGATGCAAGTTGGCTTGACCCAGCTGTGCTTTCTGAATCTGCTGAAATATTGTCAAATACTAGCCCATCAGGGCTGATAAGACGTCCAAGGCAAATAAAGTAGTTAACTATTTGTTGGCGCTTCACAACTGTCTTTGAGATCATATAGTTGGGTTATTAGTAAAATCAGATATGATTCAAATTTAGTCATTTCTGAAGTCTTATTTTGTCTTTTGCGTTAATGAAGAGATATGTTCAGGATTTTTTTTCCTTTATATAATCTATAGACCATATGTATCATCTTCATAATCTTTACCTTCTTGGGTTCATTTTCAATTTACAACTTAGTTTGTAATAGGATCTGTGTAGCATTTATAGTAGCTAACAGTGAAGTTTATGGTTTCCTTTTTACATCACTTTGAACATAACTGCTGAATATGTATACGTCTCGTTATGGTATTCCTCTTAAGGCTTAAGCCTAGCACCACCCATCACTCTAAACAACAGTCTTGCCGAAGGAATTTCTGAGTATTAATATGTATTTCTTAGTCGAAAATGGAAAGTATTTTCAATCTCCTGTTTCCCATTTTCGGAATAAGGTGGGCATTGAAACATATTAACTTAGCAGATAACTGTGTAAGCAAGACGATAAGTTTTAAACTGTAAGAGTTGGAAACACCAGTACAGTTAAATATAGAGATCATAACTCGTGTAGTAAAACTAAATACTGTAGTAGCAGTTTATATTTGGGGTCTTGATAAGTATCATTAACAGGTGTTAGTAATTTCATGAATTTAGCTTTAATTGCGATGCTTTATTTTCATTGTTATTATTTAGGAAGGTGAACAACTAATTGCTGCTAAGCTTCATCCTCAAACTATTGTACAAGGTTGGCGTGAGGCTACTAAACTGGCCTTAGCGGCTCTTGATTCGGCTGCACATCAGTTATCAAACCAGTCAGATGCTGAATTCCGTAACCGTCTGTTAAGTATTGCACGTACAACTTTGAGTTCCAAGCTCCTGACACAACATAAAGAACACTTTGCAAATTTAGCGGTAGATGCTGTTCTTCGTCTCAAAGGTAGTGGAAATCTTGATGCTATTCAAGTAAGGATTTAAAGTTCCTATCATGTTTAACAGATACCACTCACTCATGAGACTAACTAGACTATTTGATTTACAGATTATTCAGAAGCTGGGTGGAACCATGACTGATTCTTATTTGGATGAAGGCTTTCTTCTGGATAAACGACCTGGTGTAAACCAACCTAAAAGAGTGGAAAACGCCAAAATACTGATCGCCAACACTCCTATGGATGCAGATAAAATTAAAGTATTTGGAAGCAAGATCCAAGTAGATGCTATTTCAAAGGTGGCTGAATTAGAACTAGCCGAAAAGCAAAAAATGAAAGACAAAGTCGACAAAATTTTAAAGCATAACTGTTCAGTATTTATTAATAGGTAAATTGAAATTTCCACCTCTAGGTGTTTTCATGTACCAGGATGTTGTTTTCGCCACAAGCTTACATTAACTAAGAAAGTAGTTGATATAAGATGTATTAAAAAATTCGCTTCACTCACGGGTTCAAACTCCTTCAGGTCGAGCGCACATTGCTATGGACTCCCTTACTTAGGACATCTAAAGTGATTTAGTCTGATCTTTAAATCAAGTTAACCAAAATAAATATCTGAAACCAAGATAATTCCTATATTCAACTGGACATTGCATAGTGCTAGCTTATTATTAGTAGAGCTATTTTGCTGTATTCTAAATCCAATGTTTTTATAGTCATTCATTTCTGTTTTCCTAAGTATCCAACTTGGCTGTTATCAACTTCTTACATTAAAGCCAATCCGTCTTTGCTACTTTTTTTATACTATCTTTTTTAATTACATGAAAAAGTCCATTGCATGTCTTCTTATTCATTATGATTATTATAAGCTTCGTATATTGTATACTGTTACTTCCACTTGTAAAAGTCCCAATAACTGAATTGGTTTAATGTCAACGAGTATGCTATATATATATCGCAAAATGTGAACTTGTAATCTTATTTTCAGGCAGTTAATATATAACTACCCCGAGCAGTTGTTTGCTGATGCTGGTATTATGGCAATTGAGCATGCAGATTTCGAAGGTGTGGAAAGGTTGGCTCTAGTTACTGGTGGAGAAATCGTTTCCACATTCGACTCTCCGGAGACTACAAAATTAGGACATTGTGATTTGATAGAAGAAGTACGTAAACTTTTAATCATTGTTATTTTAGAACCTCCATCATAACCTAAATTAAATAACTTGTTTTCCCTACTGAGTATGTGAGTTATCTTAACGTTTCTTCCTCTGTAATGTAGCACTGGATAAACGTAACGCCCCTACTTGGTAATAAAACCTTTTTGACTGCCTGAATTTCAAATTTTTAAAAAAATAACAGCTTAACATTTTATAGACCTTTCTCATTTCCCGTTTTTGACTTGATGTATACGATGAAAAATCCTTATTGTATTACAGCAGTTTTAACTGAGCCTTCCAAGATAGATGCGATGCTTTGTAATTGTTCATTGAGATGTAAATACATTCACACTATCTATATATTTAGTACATTTCAGGACCTTAGTTTTGTGTTGTATAAGTGAATGGGCATCTGTAATGTATGTCACTTTCCATGTAAACCATCCTCTGACGTTTCAATGGAAAATTTTTACAGGTTACATATATTAATTATTGAATTTGGCGCGCTAAGATGTTCTGAAGGTTAAATTCAAGTCAATTAATTTCCAATAATGAAAATTCAAATAACTATGGATTCTGCCGGTGGCGTTACTGATGAGATCAATCTGCGTGGGGTGAAAGTCAAATGGATTTGTACCAATCATAGGCACTTTTTGTTCCATCGTAATATTAGTCTTGCTATAAAATATATGGTCTACAACTCTTCGGTGAGAGCAGTTTTGCTGTATGTTTGGAGATCTGATCTTCAAGTCACTGATGTTCGGTGACTCTGTTCAATCAATCTAGCAGCAACTTCATAGTTAGACAGATATTCCAGTATATGACTCAGTAACTGACAACTCAGTCTAATCCATTCATCCATAGCTTCACATATTTGTAGTATAGTATCAGCTTAGTAACTGGGATTGAACTCGAAATGCTATTTTTCAATAAAATGTTTAAATATATCTGTACTTGTAAAGACTCATAATGACTATCGATTTCCTTAGTTAGTTTTATTTAATAATTGTTTAACGTCAAAGCTTTTCTGAAAATATTTTATAGCTGCATACGCCTTTATTTATTTTTAACGTTGACTCTAATTGTTCATCATTCTCTCAGGTTACAATTGGTGAAGACAAGTTACTTCGATTCAGCGGTGTTGCTATGGGTGAGGCTTGCACGATTGTCTTGAGGGGTGCTACAAAAAGTATCCTGGCAGAAGCAGAACGCTCCCTTCATGACGCTTTATGTGTTTTGGCTCTCACAGTAAAAAATCCCCGGACAGTTTGTGGTGGTGGAGCTATGGAGATGTGGATGGCTGAAGCAGTAGCACAGGGTGCTGCTAAAACACCAGGAAAAATATCTTTAGCTATGGAGTCCTTCGGTCGAGCTTTGAGACGCTTGCCTTCTATAATAGCAGATAATGGTGGTTATGATAGCGCAGACTTGATCTCTCAGTTACGTGCTTCTCATGCAAATGGTGAAAAATCCATGGGTTTGGGTAAGGATTATGAAGTGCGTCTTACTTAAATGTAGGATAACATTTTGTTATCAAGAATTTCATTAAACTAATGCCTTTATTGATAATTATTGAATCATATTACGGTTAACTTTATTAACGAGTATTTGTGAGGTTAGTTTTTCATTTATCTTCTGCTTGTTTTTAGATATGAACAATGGAGTAATTGCCGATATGAATGAACTCGGGATTATTGAATCGTATGACGTAAAGCATCATTTGGTGACATCAGCTGCAGAAGCTGCGGAAATGATAATACGTGTAGATGACATCATTAAAGCTGCTCCTCGTCGTCGAGCTCCTCGAAGGCATTAAACAAAATTAGCTTTATCACCAATTGTTTGTGAAGTAAACAATAAATTCATCAGTTGGAATCATGAAATATAAGTTGTTTGTATATTGAATTTTATTTCTTTCATTTAGAAATGTTACTATTATTTACCTTTTTCGGAATGTTTTCTAAGGGTTCGTTTGTTTAATCTGATCAGTGCATTGGAAAACTAATTTAATAATTTAGTATGTCCTACGAATCGTGAATTTAAGATCATTGTTGTGCTATAATAATATGGATGTGAATGTATCTAAGATGAGAATTAATAAAATTATGGAAATCCAAACTTAAAATTTCACATGGATGAATATGTGGTATTCTGGAGGCAGTCAATAATTTCTGTACTATGTAATTGCGTGATAACACTACTTGTATTCGGAGGCTTTCAAAATAGTTGATTTCGAAACATTTTGTTTAATGACAGTTTGAATAGTTGGGATGTTGTTGCTTTACATTATGTACAGGTGTCAGGTTAGTATATTCAATTAGTTCATCAGATGTAGTATTTAAACCACGTTGTATTCAAGCTAATCACTGTGGCTTGAACGCCCATGCAATATTCCAGCCCTCACACAAATCGAATGACGAATTGTGGTGCATATATTCTTGGTGCCTCTTTGTACGAATGTTTGTGTTTAAATAAAGTAATCACCGTGGTTTTATTTACAGCGAGAATGTATTTAAACCCCCATTAAGTTGTAATTAATGATCTGGTTACTAGCTACTGTTTTTGCTTGTAAATATAGGTCAGGAAGATTCCTTATAAACGTAAAGGGCTAGTTTATTGAGACGGCGATCTTTCACATTGAGATATCGGCAAACTGAAGTTTGTTTTATCTCTACTGTCTACACCATTGAGAAATACTAATATTTTGCAGTAATAATAAACATCAGCTTCGTAACCACCCAGTTTTGTGATGTAAGTGTTTATGAAATCGGGATCGTATTCACATGGAGGGGAAAGTTGTTTTTAAAGGAGTCGTAAATACTAGCAAAGTATAAACTTCTAGAATGTCCCATAATTTCCCAAAACATAACTTTTAGTCTGTCTTCCCTTGATGAACAAGAATAGGTATTAAATTTTGGAAAACTGAATTCTAAAGAAATAAAGCATCTATTTTCTAGACATCCACCAAATGTTATGTAAATAGAGAATATTTGAACTCAATAATCATTTCACTATCGTTTTCTGATTACTGAAAAAAGGTTTCACTGAATGTTCTCGTTAATAGAATAAAATTCTTTACGATGCTTGACGGCTCATAATGAATTTAATGATGAACGTTTACGTTCAAAAACTATGTTAGGTAGTTCATTTCCTGGTTTGATCAAGTTTGTAGTTATGTGATGGTACTGTCAATAATCATTTGAAACTCATGATTATATCCTATTTCCTTACTCTTGTTAAAGTGAATTTCTTAAATATATAGTGAGTTACTCCTTTTGATTAGTGGCTAAATACGCTTCACAGTATTGTGTTGTTGAAAATTTAGGATGCAATAAGTTCAATTATATTCACTCGATTATTTCGGTGATTCGTAGTGTCACGCAGCAGGTAATACTAAGATGGTACTTGGGAATGTCGATGACAAGTAGGAATGGGATGCATTACGTTAGCGCTGGTGATTGTTAGCGTTATGTGCTTTAAGTACACTGACTTTATTGATTAATAGTCTTATTGACCGCATCATGACCTTGATGGTTAAAGTTTGTGTTCTCAAGAGTTTTCTCTTCTGCCTAAAAATACCTGTACTGTGATTTATATTCAAGAGGTGAAGATGCTTTAGGTCAATTGTCGTTATATTAAGCTAGGATGTGTCCACACTATAGGTGACGGAAACGTCAGTTCAGGATTTTAGATAAGATAATCCAGTAGTCCATACCTTTTTTAAGTTACGAGTGGTTCGTTTGTTAAGTGGTGCTTTATGTAACAAGTAGTTGCGGTCATTATTGCGTACTGGCAATGATTTCAAACTAAGATGTGGTAACAACCTCCCTGGTTTTTAGTGGCTCACTAATCAACATCAGTCGTTGGTGGTCAATTGATTTCCAAATTAATAATTCAATGGAAGCAACTGGTAAGTGATAATAGCACTCAAGAGGGCGAGACGTTTCTAATGTTCAAGATCTATTCAGTCTTCTAACCACGACAGATGAAAAGTTTCACGAATTTTCCGGAATCTTCCGTGTCGTAATCCTATTCAAATTACGCTGGATGACTGAAGCCAACCAATGAAGTGTACCATCTTAAAATCCAACCTCCAAAAACCACATCTAAATTTAGGATGATTTGAAGAGTTTGGATTTAAATCATTTCCTGATAGGACTTATCTATTAGGTCAATCTTATGTAGTCAAAGGAATTTCGCAGTTAATTAAAAGAAAAGCGATCATTTAAGTAATTCTTAGTTTTAATTCAACTCCAGCTTTGCTCAACCAGTTTAGCATCGACTACGAACTCGGATGTGTACTACCAGTTACGCTACTTACGTTTTATGAGTAGTATATCTATTTGGCACATTTTACTTCATGCCATAACAAAATTCATTTAATTCAATCTATAAGAGTATATTATTTCGTAATCAGTGAGTCAGTCGATCAGTAAATCTCAAGTTATGTGTTATTGTCTTTTTGTGTGAGTTTGTTTGCACTGACAGGTGTATTTCAATAACTCACCACCCTACTTATTGGTAGAGACGCTCTTTATTGAGGCATAAAAGTACAGTGCATCAACTTAGAACTTATCTTTTCCTTAAAAAGCCATGATAAACAAGAGGGTTTTATACACGGATTTGACATGTTCTAACACTATTGGGCAGAAAAAATAAATGAGTTGCAACGGTCTGTATACATATAAAAGTACATACAAAGGTATATTTAATGGCTTTAATGATGTTATTTAACCATAGTGTCTACCCGGATGTGTACTGAGAGTTTTGTCGAACACCAAAACTTATAAAAAGTTTGGAATTCGCTAGAGAAGTGGTAATCCAGTATACAATTAAATTATTAGTAGCTGATTGTCTTTAGGACTATTTCAGTGGGACGATTCCAGGTAGTATTTAGTCGATGATTGTGTCGGAAGTGGGTAGTAAACCGAAGTGAGTTATGATATGTCAGAAGATATTCAACAGGATTTTCAATTTCATATACAGTATCAGCAGACCGTAATTCATTTTGATTCGTATGTTTGAAGGATACAACAACTTCAGAACCCTCTGTGAAAATAATATTTTCTTAGTGAAAAAATGTCACGAAATCTATTATTGTAGCATATGACGCTATCTGACTAGTGTTCCCTCTATTTACCCAGTTTATACAACTCTTACAGACATTAGTTATTAGTCCCAGTCTGTCATCGCCAAGTTTACATGGTTCTGTTTAAGTCGAACACCATACCAAGATGGGGTTCCCACTAGAGTATATGGAAACAATTAATTTACAATAACTCTTGTAAAGGACGATAGTACCCTTGATATCCCATGTAACAGAGAGTATTTATGTAAAAGCATAGATTTCTTTGTTGTGATTAATATGATTAGTTCTTTTTTACTTAATGTTGGCGTCGGCAATATTTCATTCAGTATAACATTTGATTTGAGTGTGTTGTTTATTCAAGATACGATATTCTTTCATTAAATTAAGTTGAACTATGTTCAGCAGGATATACAGTACGTGATTTGTTATAACTTGGGGTATTTTTTATATATGTGATTGCATTCTAACTAATAATCAAAGTGGGTGTTCAGTCAATATAAATTGAGTATGTGTCCGACTACGGTCGTCAGTGGGTTTTGGGTTTAGTAAATCTTCACTTGTACCAGTCTTGATGTTTTTACTTCGCGTCGTGGGAATTGTAGTGGTTCCTTGTTTAACAAATATAAGTAGTAAGCGATTCCAATAACAATTATTGACGATCAGCCATAACAGTAAACAAGTTGACAGATTTAAACATTAGGTGTAAACATAGATAACAAACTGGTGAAAAGACTACCCTACACATTTATGGGTACGTTTTTATCACTTCAGTTATATGTAGGATTACAAAGAAAATGGTTTGTGTCAAAATGTCCGATTGTTTTATTGGTGGAAAAGCTTGCTACCTATTTACAACATGGATTCTTAGAATCTCGACACATCAGTTTAAATAATCTAACAGTCTTTATTCAACTTGGTCTTCGGGAATCAGTTTTAATCCTATACTTCGATATATGAACATTTTTCAGCATTTTTAAACAACAGCCTCGTTTAGACCAATTCAACTATTATGGTGTGAAAATTGTCTGCTTATTGGTTGAATTCTTCCTTCGATTACAGTTGCTAAATAGTTCAAAAATACTCTACAGAATGTTTATCCTGTTACTATTTGTAGAATACGAGGTTGTGATATGTGACCTTCGCTACTCAAAGCCACCATAATTAATATCTGCAAAATCTTCAGGATTTGTAAAGCTTTTATTATTATTATTATTATTATCTATTCTCGAAAGTGATTCATTTATTCATGATACATTCTGAATTTTCTCTTTCCTGATACTGCTTTTACATTTGTCACACCAGCAATTATATTCTAAACTACCACTGATATTGTAGGGAGATTATATACTTCAATATCGTTAACATTAAAACTGCTATAAAACTTTCCTTTATATTGCTATTCTATGGTTCCATCTCATTGATATTTTGAATGATAGCCTCGAACTGACTAAAGTTATTAAAATTAAGCTACTAGATTCTAAATCGGTTATTGAATGATGTCGGGTCTACAGTGAAGGTTCTTATCCTTGTTAAATGTGAACTGATGTGTGTGTATTATTGTACTTGACTTAAGTTACAAAACAACTATACACTACTTTTTGATTTTTCAGGGGATATTTACCTATGAAAACTATCTTAAATGACTAATTATTATTGTTATTTTTACTGATTAAATTATTTTAATGGGTTTCGACATTTTATTTCATCTTTTAATGGCAACTGACATATCCTTCCAGCCTATTATTATGTTATAAACTTTTTAAGGCTTTGTTTAGATTTGTATGATTCAATAAGGTGAATTATACTCCTTATTTATTTATTTTAACACATAGATATTGGTACAAGGAGGC